AAATGGAAATTAGATTTTAAAATTTCAGCCAGATATGTGCTGTTGTTTTATTTTTAAGGTCAGCCTGCAAAGTCGAGATGCTGGAACTGCTACAACATAATGACAATATTGAAAGGTTTTGGCCACAACTGCAATAGGAAATAGTTATTCAGTAATAATATGCGTCACTTGTAGGTGAAATGGGTATTATTACAAAGTTCAGATCAAAACAGCAACCACTATAACTATTATGTGATAAAAGGCTTTTTTTCTCAATTTTTATCTTCCAACAAAGCTTTCTAATTTTGTGGGTATGGATCTTCTTGCAGTTGCTTAAATAATCTCAGAATTTTGATTACGGCATCTGTCCCTCTAAACATTCCCAACCTTTAGAAGTATTTCACTTTCCAGAACTCAGAATCTACTGATACCTGTGCTAACCGCATATCAGAATATGTGCATCTCTCTTCTATTGACATATTGAAATGGATTGTGCTAGTTCTAAGGAAACTTCATTGCATTTTGAAATTTAAAATTCAAGTGCAGTTTTGAGCCAAGGGACCATTTCCTCCCACTTGTCGTACAAGGATGTTAGAAGAGTGTTTGAAATTTTTATGCTTAAAGAGCTCCTTTGAAATGAAATGCACTTTCCAATCAGATTGTGTCCTATGAAAGAAATGCTCAGCATAACCCTTCATGAGCACCAATATACCATGATACCATGTTGAACCCGCATTTGGAGTAATTATTCCTTACAAAAGTGATTCTGGTTAAAGACTGCTATTTATGATTCAAGTGCAATTTCTATTTTCAGACTTATTTTTGCAATATTTACAGTACATGCTGTATTCTACTAGCATACGGTTAATAAACAACAGGAAAACATTGAACAAGCTAGACTGCTCTTTCAAATTATATTCAGTTAATAGCCGTGTTGCACGGAAAACAAGAACTGAATATGCACAGAGCACACATACACTTTCTCCTGACATGTTTTAGTTTGTGGTGGCCCAAAATTATCAAGATTTCCCAAGAATTACATAAACTGATTTATTCCGACTGCCAAGCTTGAGGAGATACAAATGTTCAGAGAGGATCTGTTTCCCATCTTTGGTTACTATTCTGCATTCGAATCCGCTGCAGATGAAAGAGATTTGCTAGCCACTTGGGTCTCTACCATATCCAAAGTTTACCCAGGGGATCCTTGAGGAGGAAAATTAGGGCACCTTTAATCTATGCATTCTGATGCGACACATGAAGATCGTTTGCTCAAAAGGCCTGCTTAAATGGGTTTATACTAACTTATTAATGAGTCCATAAAACCCTCATATAACTTTAAAGTTTAGAATGTTGACCAAAACTCTTACAAAACTACCAAGATTGTCAGACTTGTGCTAATGTCAGTTCTTTGATGTTTCTTTTTTAAATTCAGTGCTGACTATTGTAATTCCTTGCCAGCTTTATAATGAAAAACTTACAAATAGTTACACCCCACAATATAAAATGCTGATGGTACCTGAGAAATATTATGACACAATGTTCACTGCTTGATCTTTGTTTGTTTTATACATATATAGAGAGAGTTACTGTATATAGCTGATCCTTTTATCCCAAGTAACTTATATGTGTCCACTATTTATAAAGCCGGGTATTTTACTGGAGCAATTTGGATGAAGCGCCTTGCTCAGGGGTACAACAGCAGCACCTTACCTGGGACTTTTACCCATAACCTTCCAATTATGGGTCCAGAATCCTGACCACTGCTTCACACTGCATTTCAAAAGCTCTCCTGTGTTACAGTAGAGTAACATCCTTAGTCAGAAATTAAGCAACTGCCCTATAGGGAATGATGAGGCAGACAAAGCTTCAGAGTCATTAACTTGGTACAACATAAAGAAACCTCTGCTCTCGATTTGAAGGCTACAGGGATTGAAGAGGGCAGGCCGCCTTTTTAAAACATGCCATCTGTCTCACCTGCAGGGTCCATTCTTTGGCTCTCTCTTCTTTCAGATCCCTGCACCCTTTTCCTCACTCCCTCACACCTGAGGAAAGCTCAAGAGCTGAACTGAAAGCTTTTCTGAGCTTTTCTTCTCCCTACTTTCCAGTGTAGAATTAACCTCTGAGCTTCCCTCTGCACCCCACGCTGCATGTTCATGGCATACCTGACACAGCTAAACTCGTCACAATTTCTCTTTTAGTAAACATCCTGTACAAGCGTACAAGATATAAGCCAAAGAGGAAAAAAGGGGGGAAACAATTGTGAATTACTTTGCAAAATGAAAAAGTAAAGAAATAAACCTCTAACATCTTGAAATTGTTCCTAGTACAGTAAGCAAGAGACCGTAAATGGACTGTTTTATTATGCCAGGAGATGCCTGCCTGAGGCCGTCAAATACCATTAACCACACAACTATCAACAGTGACACTGTGGCAACTGCAGACTAGTGATCTGCCAGCTGCATTGCAGATATAATTACAGCCTGGCTGCAGCAGCTCTGCACGGAATTGAAGATGGCAAGAACTCTCCTTTTTTTGCTCAGAACTTGTCTGCATCAATTTCATGTAACTCTACATCTTGTACAGGCCCACAAGCTGTAATGTTGATGCTATTTTTCCTCTTTTGTACTAACATTTAACCTCACGTCTGTTGACAGCTTCTGCTAAAAATGCATATTATTCTTGGGCTTGCTAGCCTCCACCAACATCTTTTTCCCTGTTCTAATATGTCTCTGTCACCTGCTTAAGTCCTGTTTCTGTAAAAAAATGAACAATGGTACATTCAAAATAAATTCCATTTATTTAGCACACGTCATCCCAAAGGCGTGTGCGAACAGGAAAGGACCCGCTCCATCCAGCACTGAAGCGCAGCCCCCACCTGGACGACATACTGTAGCAGCCTTTCTGCACCAGCTGCCCCACTGTACAGCAGACCAGATCAGAACGAGCCAGGAACTACTATAGCCATACACTGCGTGGTTGAAACTAAGCTTCATTAGAACGCAAGCCACTTTTTGGCTCTTAAAAAAGTGTCCTTGTGCCAATTAAAGTCCGACAAGCAAACTCAATATGAATTTCCAAGGGAAGTTTAATTAGACTGTGGTAGATTTTTGTGCGACGTCCTCCATGAAGTTCTCCTTAAAACGCACCCGGCTAAGACATGTTCTGTCAGCACTGGCGTCCAGCCATTGCTTGCTGCATTCAGGAGGAAAAGGGGAAAATAGCACAAGCCTCCATTTCCTGGGTGGATTAAAAGCTGACCAATTTTAGTTGCACAGCTCTCTGAGAGCTGTCATATCACACAGCGGCAGGAGTTCTCTCCCATCTTTCAGCTCTTCGATATAGGTGCCAGACCGCTCCCATTTATCAATAACTAATTAAATGATACAAGAAACTTATTTCACATAAAATGTCATTATGAGGATAAGGGGAAAAACGCATTTAGAGCAGGGCACAGAAGTCTTTTTTTTTCCTTCCAAAATGTGATTAAAATAGAAGCAGTACTTAGTGGTTTTAAATTAGAAATGTAACACTGTTATAATTAAGGTTCAAACTTACAGAGCTAAAATATTACCCTAATATGTTTTTTTTTTAATCACTGCACTTTCAATGCCATTTTAATAGAAAGTGAGGAGTCTTGAAGCAGAATTCAACATGACTTCAATCACACTCAGCAGCAGGGGAGCTCAGTGACCTTCAGTGGCACAGCATTAGCCGGAACCTGCAGTCGTTCACAGACACTTCTAATGAGGTCAACATCCCAACAGGGTATCCTTTATATACAGTATGGGATACGGCTCAACTCCAAGCATTAGTTGCAGATTGTTGCATATAACATAAGCAGTACACAAAGATGGCAGGAGTATCTACTGCAGAAATGTATTGTGGAAAAACAGGTTATATTTTATACTGATCATAAAAAAACAGTTACAACTGCAACAAAATTCACATGTTCTTATTTTTAGGAAATGATAAGATTGTTTGTAGGAGGCACACTGACTTTTTTGTTGAACCAACATGACACAGGTATATTCCCCATGTTGACTGGCTTCTCTCCTCAGCAGGGCTGGGTGCCAGGGAGTCGACTATGAAAGTCACAAGACAACAGCTTGTGTGGCCCCTGCCGGATGCCACTAAAGATCCATGCCACATGCTTGGCACAGGCCTGCAGAGGCTGTCTTGGGGGATTCGGTTTCAATCCTCATGATTCTGTTCATGAGGATGCCTGCTCCATGGCATCACTGTCACCAAAAACCTCACAAGAAAGCCAGTGGTGCACGGGCAGCCTGAGGACGTGTGCTGTCCTGCTGGAATGCTGTCACGTCAGGAAGAGTCCGCAGGAAGGACATTTGAGTGAGGTTCCAGGACACGTCAATGCAGTGACTAAACACTCTGAACACCTCTCCTGGCCCTCCCCAGCAATCTCAGTGTCCTTTTCTGAAGTCACACAGATCAAGGCCTAACATTGACTATTTCTATACAGGTGCTGTTCTCTTGATAAGTGGGACATATTGATTTCTTTCAGCATTTTGCTTTCTTAATTTTCAACAAGCTTGACATTCAAAAGGCTAAAAGACCTTGTCAGCTGTGCCTGATCAGCTCTCTCACTACTGATGTGATTTAGTGCTTATGCAACTGTCAAATTCATTTAGGTATATAATAGGTTAGAATGATCGGTTAATGAAAATGGTGCCAAGAATTGTATATTTCTATTAATTACGTCTATTTGTATAGAAAGCAGTACATTTCATTTTCTAAATGATCAGCATGAATAATCACTTTAGGTTCACTTTAGGCATGAATCAGATGGATTGATATTTTGAAAGAGTATACAAGGCCACGTCGTCAGAATGGAATCAGGTTAAAAAAGAAACATAAAAGCTGCACATCACATTTTGACTTTTGTTAACAACGTCTTTATAATATCAAGATAGTTTTCAATGTTTTTCCATTGAGGAATAAAAAGATCTATATGGGAATTGGTGTTATTCCCCAGGAACACAAACAGGGTTAAACAGCCTTACCCAGAGGGATGGCCACCGGGATGAGGAGCCCTTCCAGTGGGGCTGACCTGATTCCTGTGCTGGGCACATCTCTGGAAGGGCTGAACACATAGTCAAGCTCATGAGAGAAGGGCTGTCCTGCGGGTCTGCTGTCTGTCTTCTTCGGAGGGAAAAGCCCAGTTTGTGTTCTTGCAGATTTCACCTTGATCCCTAGAGAACACAGTAAAGTCATTCTGATTTTCACATGACTACCACTGGTTTGCACCACCACAGATTCTGCTTATCAGGAATTGGACTCCAAAGCACATTGCTGGTGTGCTTTGGAGTTACTGCCGTGCCTGCACCAGAACAGCAGCCTGACTCCAAAACAGCTAGGCTCAACAGACTTAACAGAATGAGTCTAGCACTGAAACCCTGTTTACAGTGCAAACTAAAGCACAAGAAATAAATTTCCTTTCTACTGCAAAATCTAATTGGAGTAAACACCTTCTGATTTAAAATTATTTACATAACACTCAATAAGAGAGAAATACTGTTTTTTGCAGTCTAAACACAAAACAATCTCCACACAAAACAAAATTTGGACTAGATCATACTGCATGTCTGAAAGATTTAGTTTTTTGACTTGGTAGAAAAAAAGGCACAATAGTCCCACATGGCTTTTTAGAAGAACATACATTGACAGACCATTATTACTGTGAGTTTAGAGCATTTCTGTATTGGGCAAATACTTTGTACTATAATACCTTCAAAATAAAACTGCAGCAAAGCTATCAAAGAAGCTTCGTCTCATGAGTTCTGCATAGCGCTAATGCTTGGGTTGCTTTTGATCAGAAAAAAGACCAATGAAAAATCAAACAAAAAAAAAAGAATGCAAATGGAGGGACATTGAGACAAAGCAATTTGTGCATCACTGGGAAACTGAGGCAGCCCATAAAATATCTGTTTATGACCCCTTTGTGTGAGAAGACAGCCTCAGTTACTGGGTTGCTTTAATTGAAGAGATGAAGAACATAGTGCTTGTGCTCAGGAGTTTATGACGAATCCCATCTTTGCACATCAACCTTTTTTAATTGAAATTCACAGCCAAGAACTGGGGCAGAGAGATTTTCATGTTTAATAAAAGCAAATTGCTGGCACTGACACAATGAATAAATACAGTATTTGATAAAAATGATCTTTCTACCAAATCCACTCAATTGTTAGCAAGAAAATGAGAGTTTGACATTAAACAAAACAAACCGAACCAAACCTAATTTTCAAGGCTGCACGGTATTTCTTGATTTCTTGTTCACTTATGAAACATTCAGACCATAAAGAGTTAATCAGTGTTATTTGAAGTTTAAAATCAGGTGGGACTAGTTATGACCAACTTATGAACAGTTAATTAATATTAAAGATTTCATGATACAGAAGCTAATCACACAGAGAAGATCAGAACAAGGCAGCAGTTAAACAGGTAAGTATTTACTAAATGGGAGTAACCTATAACTGTAAATACTTCGAGATAGCTATGGTTGAGGATCCCACATCATATTCACACTGTTTCTATTTTGACACATACTGTTTAGCCCAAAATATACCAGCGCCAGTTGTGACAAACAGCTGTTTATCATCAAAGATGCACTTTAGGCTGCTAGGCAACTAGTCTTCTCATCAAAGAAAATAAAGAATGCATTAAAGAAATAAAACCCAGAGGCCCAGCTAATCAGCATATATTATTACTCATCATTTTCCTTCTCTTCTGCATTCATATTCCAGAGGATTTTAATAAATATATAAGCATACAGAATATTTGTTTAACCATTCGTCTAAGAATTTCTCAAACATTTTGCAGCCATAATCTAAAGACCACATGGAGTTCCTTAACCTAAATTATTTATTTTTCAGCATGGCACCAGGTGGTCATTTTAAGTATATGCAATGCTTGGGTTAATTCTCCTTTGTCTGAGACATACTGATAACTTATTGAGGACAATGTAGCACTGCCATGTTTTCATGTGTTATAAAAGGATTCAAAGCATAAGACCCCTGTGAGAAGACCCCGAGTACTGATGGTCACTCACCTTTGACACTCTCCACCACCCTTGGCCGCTGGGGCTTGGACTTTGGAGAAGGAGAGTTGATCCTGAGATAAGGAGCTCTTTTCAGAGTGCTGCGGTGGCCCTGGTACACAGCCCTCCCATAAACCCTCTGTAGATACTCTTCATCTTCTAGCTCTTGACCCTGAGGTCCATGACACACAAAATCACAAGTCAGCGAGGACTATGTGCCGCAAGAAAGAACAGCAAACAGGCACACGAACAAGGGACTCCCGGAAAAGTAGTTTCCGACCTCTCCCACAGTGGGCCCCAGCTGGACACTTCCCACGAGCTCCAGTATATTTCACAACAGCATTTGGGAATCATTTTTAAATGCACAAACTGTAAAGCATATAAATATATCTAGAAAACAAAGCATTTCTATAACAAAATAACTCATTTTTTTTATATTTAGCCATTAGAGTTAAGTGAATTGAATGCAGTGTGTCAGTCCTTTAAGAGTAAATGTTCCTTAAATGAAGGTCAGACATGCTCCACTACTTTCCATCTTTTGACTGAAAACGTAAGCATTTCTAATTGTATTACTCCTATTTTGTTGTTTTTTTAATTCACTTCATGCCATGTCACCTATCAAGGTATGTCTTCCCAACTGAGAGGACATTAACAGAATTAGAGCTGGAAATGTGCACAGGAAAGCACCTGTACAAAAACCCATACTTATGACAACTAGGAGTGTGTTACAACACGTATAACAAAAGTGAAACTAAACTTCATACAATGACATCAAGACTTTATAAGAAATACAAGTTTGTGATAAATAATGTGTTGATAATAAGAAATATCAGTGAGTTAGTAGTTTTCCGGAAAAGAGTCTCAAAGAGTATATTGTTAGGCCAAATAAAAGATGTCCTGAGATAAACTATTACTGTTTAAAGGCAGCAGGATCTTAATTGGTTTGTCCTTATTTCAGACACTAACTCATAAGTAAGGTTATTTTGAATTCCATTTCCAGAAATAGTAGTATATTAAACATTTTTAGCCATGGAAAACAGTTTGTCAGATTGCCATCTGAAGTTAAGTTAGAAAGCTTTTTCACTTTGCTTTCTCTCTAAGAAGAGGTCTATCAACAACCATATATGACTATACACTGTGCTTGAAATCCTCTGGAGACCGCTGAATCGGTACAGACATCACATCAGTCGAGAGAATTACCTCTGCAAAGTTAAGTAGCAGAATATCGTAAAACAATCTAGATGGTTTCAGAGCAACACGGGCGCCACAGCCGACTGCATGCACAGAAACTCATTAGAGCTGAGAGCCTTACATGGCAGAGCCTACACTGGTTGCTAGGTTGTGTGTGTTTCCTCCCAATCCACAGTGACAGCTCCTGCCATTAAGTAACACAGGCATGTTATAATGAGAGAAAAGCTGGTCTGCCTTTTGTCCTAGAGACCAACCTCTCTTATTTATAGCAAATCTGTCCATCAGCCAGCCTACAGTTCATTTTACACCTCATTTGGTTACAGAGAACACAAAAACATCTCCTGAGAAATGATGTTTACATTCAGATAGCCAGATAAACAGGAGGAGATGTTCATGGTATAACACTAGTTATGACAACTGTTTCAGTGTCACCAAACTGATAAGCTGGCAGAAATCATACAATACATAAATACACAAAGAAAGATTTAAAGATTTCTTAAAGAGGCACACATCTATTATTGCCTTGCCGAGAAGCATCATTTAATTAACAATCTTTTTTGCAAATCAAACATGACAATTCAGTCACCGAATTTATCATGTTTATAGTGGGAAGCTTTGCCTACCCTGGTGAACAGCATTCTACCTTAAAACAACACTCATTATTGGGGAACATTTTAAAGTATTTGTTACAGGCGTTGATAGCCGTAATGTTGTCTGTGTTTTTCAGTAAATGGTAATTTACAGCACACACGCCTCAATAACTGACTGACCTTTAATATAGGTTCTTTCTTCTGCAGAAAGTGTGAGAAGGACTTGCTTTGCACATTGGGCTTTTCAAGATGTCCTTCAGCTGCCTTTCGGAATGGCTTCGAAGTGTTCAGAGGTTTTCTTGCTGCTGTTATTAGCTTGCTTTGAGCAGCATTTTTCACATCTCTCTGCTGTCGTATGCCCTTGGCACCTTGACCTTTCTGCGATGAGACAGTAGCAGCTTCTTTGTCTTTTCCTTTCATTTGAGAAACAAAGTCCTTTCTTGCAATTTCAGCCTGTCATAGAAAGGAACAATGTGTTTTAGACATGAAACCAATACCATAGGACCAAGTTGGGTATTGAGCTGTCCACTCAAAACTTTTCAACTTTTTTATCTGCAGATTGGTCTGTTAAAATTGACACTAAGCACACTTGTATAAGGCAATCTAGTCCATAGCTATTGCCTGACAGCTGTCAGTAACACGTTAACAGCAGTCTAAAGGTGCTTTTAATAAAATGTCATTGCCATGCAGCACAAAAAACAATAAAATTAAAAGTTAATTTGAGACCCCCAAGATTAATTAATTCAAGGACCTGAATTCTATCTGGAATACAATCACTGGATGTTATACAGTTTTAAGTCTGTTTATCCTGTCATTCAAAATTTTGTCAGAAGCACCAAGTGAAACACTGAGTGAAGCACATTATCAGGGGTTGTTCTCACAAAGAAATTATTATACAGTAATACTATTATAGTGGTTAATGCTGCCATATACCAAAGGTTTCTGTGAAAACAGAATTTAAAGCACCAATTCATTATGATACAAAAAAAAACATTTCTACTGTTTTAGAAAAACTACTGTTTTCTACTGTTTAAGGTGAAACACTCTTCCAATTTCCATGTCTGGCTTTCCTAATATTGTAGAACTGTTTTAAACCTCTGAAGCACTCGAGATTGCTAGGAAAGTGCTCTGTCCATCTGCTGAAAATGCTCACAGATTTAAGTGAAACATCACTTCAGCTGATCAGAGGAAATAACACAACAATCCTCTAACGACCGCAAAGTCTTCAAAAGCTTTCATTTTCCCTTCCAGGCACAATGAATTGAAAACAAGAAAGACACCATTTCCTATATTCAGAAGCATTTGAAGATGGAACTATTGGATACTGAGACCCATTTTGTTAGGTTAAAACTCACCAGTTATAAGTTGCTGGATACAAACTTGTCGTCTGTGTGATACAAGCTAATCAGCGATTTCAGAATGGCAAAGTGAACCCTTTAAAATGTATTAAAATTATGAAAATAACCTTGGATGAAAAAGTCAGCATAGTAATACAAAAAAAAGCAATCAGTACAGACCATGAGATTCTGAATCGTGACTTGTTTAAGACCACCTTTTCACTCCATCACTCAAAAAGATGTATGAAGGGTTTTTTTTATACGTGGGTTTTAAGTGGCTTTCAGTATCTCTTCCACATACGAAATCCCACGATACTGTACAGAACGAAGGACTCTGCAGCTCCTGTAGCTCCGCAGCGAGCCAGACGCACTGTTGGCCAGAGTGACCAGGCTGGCAGGAGCCAGCTGTCCCAGGCTGGCGGGCTGGCAGGCCAAGTGTGTCTCGTGCAGAGCAGAAGGCACTTTGGAACGCACTGCCCTACTGGAGAAGGGTGTTTTGGCTGCCTGACAGAGGCTTGTACACCACTAGGATGAACAAAGCTGCTCTTTCAAACTGATAAAGTTTACCTGTCCAGCTACAGCTTTTTTGTTTCAGTCACACATCTGTTCGGCTTTAGTATAACTAACACATCACTGAGAGAGGGTTCATGTACCGTCTTGGATCATTTCTCATTTTGAACCCATTTCTCTTTTTTTTCAGTTGTTCGACTCCAGGCTATGATTTCAACTGCTTTTAATGGTTGCTATGAAAACCTCAGTAACGGCACTCATCCATTAAAAAAAACATCTCTTTTATTTTGAAAGTTTCAGTCTCACACCACAGTTCTATTTATTAAGGAAACATTGCCCCCCCCCCCGGCATTTCGTTCACAGCAACAGCTGCACAGAGGATAAACTGCTTAGTGTGTTGTTTATACCGATCTGCTTCCACATATGCTCACCTGAATGTCCTTGCTGATGGTGCCAATCCATTCATCCACTGTCTTTTTGATTCTTATCTCTCCGGAGGCATCCCTAAAAATACGGGGAAAACAAAGCAGAAAAAGGTCAAGTGGACACAGTTCATTTCACAGCTCTACAGCTGTTATCTCAACGTGGAATGATGAACTGCAAATCACATCTCACGATCTTCAATATGATCTGTGTCTTTTTGGATTTTCTCCTGTGTCTGACAACATGAGCAGCGATTCTAGATTTTACGCCAACTCTATATTCAAACAGGCTAAAGGTGAAATTACAAGCTTGGCATGATTTTAGAAAAAAAACCAATATGCTTTAAAAAATATTGTAGGTTTCTATCCCAAAAATAAGATATTTTATACAATCCAGAAAATAGAACGTTTTCTTTATGTGACTATAAGAAGACATTAACTTTGACAAATAGTGTAATGTGTTCATCACTGCTAATTAATTAGTATTAAAGTACTAAAATATTGGTCTGTAGTTGTGTGATACCCCCAAGGCTTTATTTGATGAAAGAAGCAAACAGAAAGACCATTTCTGCTTTGCTGCTTTCATTAACTGTGCATTAAGGATCTTCGCATTTAGAAATGTATGACTCTACATTAGCTAGTGTAAATAGCAAATATATTGAGTACTTTTACATTTTCAAACTAAATATATGATAAACAAGTTGTTCAGCATCACGATTATAGCTTCCTGGAATCAGTTACTATCAAGGACAAACTGGAGTGGTTGTGTGGTGATCAAAACAATGGACTGACAAGGAGGGCTTCTGATTAAACTGAAACTGCGGCACTCATGCTTTGGCAATGATTAGGGAAGATAACTGAGAAAGAAAAACGGCCATGAAAATTAAGCAATTTATCTCGAATACAGAGGACTTCAAAACCAGAACTATTGGTGTATCAGCTAAAAGCTGATATTGTCCTACAGCACTCCAATGCAAATCAGAAACAGCTTTCTGCATTCTGCAGCAAATCTCAAAAAGACAGATTTCTGAAAATTCAGACCAAGTTTAGCCAGCTGCCCTCACTACACAGCACTGGAGTAAATGCCCTTTTTCAAAGCAGTCTGCACCACACTGTTCTGGACCTGTATTTGTCTCATTCATGCTGGTGGAACTTGTGCTCCCAGAGTTGCCATGAAGCTCATTCCAACACTTTAAAAGGTAAATTAAAAATTTATGACTGAAGGGGATATTAAGAGTCAGCTGTGTATTCACTCCACTTTAACCTTGCTAATAGAATAAGTATCATACAGCTATGTATTTATCATGGAGTAGGAAAAGTCAAGTAATAAAATCCATGGTGGAACAGGAAAACACATGTGCAGATGTGCCCTACACCATTACACAGTTAAGGGATGTACAGTATGCTTGTAGTCCATGGTAGTGATTCTTTCATATACCCTCAGGAAACTCATAGCACACAGCGCTGGATCCTGATGCTGCCAGTACAGCCTGCTTTGTTTTTCACAGTAGTCCCTGTTGTGAGGATAGCAGCTGGTTCTAACGCAAGATGGAGACTTTAATTCGGCCATCACTACTCATTTCCCTGCAGGACCTGTGATTCTCCGATGAAAGCTCGGATTGGAAGCCCACTTCGCTTGTACAATCAGCATCCTTTGTGACTCCTTGTGTCTAAGAGGAGTTACTATTCACTTCAACTGTCTGCAAAATGAAATGCTAGCAGTTCTAGATATGCCAAGTGTAGGTTTACAGTACAAAGTATGCAGACATCTTTCCTCAGTATTTATTTAGCTGTAATCTTATTTTCTTTAGAGTTGTCCACTGATTCCACCAAAGAAAAAAGCACTCTACATTGCTGTACTCTTTGATTGATATTGAGAGACGAAAACAAGTATGTGTTTCATTTAAAGATTGGATTCTGAAAGTTTTCAAAGCCATGTTAAAATGATTTGGTTTTACAATATATCTTATATTCAAACACAATTGTGACTAAAAATTGCTACAAGCATTACTTTGTCTGGATTTTTTTAAGGTTTGTTCTTTAGTTAGGATATTTTAATACATCCAACTACATAAATTGACTGTGCTTATTTATGGTGTTTATTAAATGAATAAGCAGGATTACTGCATGATTTCATTACTCATGAGTTTATTCCTCATTCATTAGAGACTGTTTATCTTTGCTTTGTACTGTACTACCTTTTTAAATCCCAGTGTAGTTGAATTACACTTTGATAACTGCATTCTGTGTGCACTTGTGACAATATGCCAGCAGTCGTAATGAGATCATAAAATCAAGATTAAGTCTGGCTGAATTTGACTTTCACACTGCAGAACACACTGCAAAAGCTGTTATTCTTACTTTATTTCTTCTGTTTAGTGTTTTATCATTTAGCTTGTGTTGCATCTATATATTGCATTTACCTCTATTAATCATTTTTTAAGGAATCAAATTACAACTGGATCTCCAAAGACAGAAAAACGATCACAAAGGATCAACCGGCACTCTAATCTGAAAGCAATCTTTGGAGAGCTCATTTGCACAGGAGGAACACAAGGACTACGATGTGCCAAGCACATTTAATCAATATGTCGCCTTCCTCCAGTTGCTATGAATGGGAAGAGTGGGAAACTGACTCTTTTTCTAACAGTGTCATGCTGTGTGTAAAAATCAGCAATGTTCCAGCATGCTGGCCAAAAGTAATTGCACAAGGGGAAGAGACACAAACTGTTTTCTGCAGAAACAATGTGGTAGAACAATCAAGTCCAATACGCATCTGGACACCATCCAAATCAGACACTAATAACACTGCCCGGACTCCCTGATTGATAATTTTATCAGGCCAAATCACTTCCAGATGTAGTCACATAAACAGAAAAGGTCTGGCTGGACAAAGTGACTTTGACAATGCTTGGTGAACAAGCAGAGTCATGCTGTGAAGTTCATGCACACAGCACAATGCAGTGCAACGTTTAAAGGAGACTGTGGCTTCTAATTAAACCACCATCAATCATTTCTGCTTATAATTCACAGAATTTCAGTCGTAAGATCATTTAGCATTTAGTATACTTAAGGATATTTACTGTGGAAATAAACACATTTGTTATCTTTTGGGTGACAGTGTCGTACACATAAAGCTTATATACTAAAACAATAAATATTAACAATTTTCTCCAAAAAACATTAAATCCATATCTAAACACACAAATCATAAAAGTATTTCACATACATGTTTCATTTAATATCCAAATGTAACAAAATGATCACAACAATGAATAAAATACAACTTTATACAAAGTATAAAACTATCCAAAATTTTTTAGAGTAAAAGTTTCCAGATTTGCCTGATTAAGAGAAACCAAAAACACTGTCTGCTGGGCTTTATCTGTTTTTAATTTAAAAACAAATTCTTCATTTTGTAAGTAAAGACAAATTTTGTCCTACAGCGTGTTGCTACAATTGCCAATAAAACAACGAGAGGAATGCATAACAGGAAAATCCAAGCTCCCCTATTATTTAGTTTTCACCAAAGGAGGCAAAGAAAAGGATGTGGATCATTTTCTATATACTGTGTGCAATCCTCCAGACTGTTTTCCAACTGTGAAAAATAAAGGTATTGTACAGAGAAGGAAACACCATCTGAAACCATGTTCATAAGACATCATCTGTCACTTTAGATAGCAATGCACAGTAACGTAATTTGAACAGTTCTTAATTTCTCAATGTATCTACTATAACCTCCTTAAAGACACTGGAGTAATGCAAAGAAGAGGACCGTCCTTTTAGTTTTGAGACACCTAGTTAAAATCAACCTTAAAGTCTTAATGCGAGCCACTTATCCATCAGTTATAACTATATAACATCAAGCAATACAAAATAACCACACATCATAAACATAAGAGCAAGACTTCATTAGTGGTAGTATATTACAAATGTGCACAAATTATATACATTTTTTATTTGAAATGTGCAGGGCTGATCATTCATGATTTCCATTCAAAGCACATTCTGCTTTATTTATATAAAGAGAAATACAGGTTCTTTTCTATAATGGAAAAGAATATCGCTTAGGAAGACAGAAAATGAATATCTTTTTTATTTTTTAAACAGAAAATAGGACATGGAATATTTTTTGCATTTGCTAAAGTAAACATGAATTTATTAGTGTGATAATACGCACTTGAAGCTCATGTACAAATGTTGTTTAGTTTCATGTGATGTTGTTGTAATGCACAGATAAAAATTCAGATTCAGAAAATCCTCAAACTGTTCATAAACTGAACATCAATCATTACAGTACGTTCATACAGTATATGTGTACTGTTAGCGTAACATACTAAATGCAGACAAATAATTTCAAACTTAAAAACTGCTGTTAAGGAATATGCATAAAATGACAATAGACCCAAGACACCAGGTTTTACAGTAACAGATTTAAAAATAAATGTAAATTGTATCACGAAAGACAGCTTTCCAGCCACTGCTCTTAACCAGCTTCTCCTGAACCATAAACCTGCATAAGTCTAATTCTACCTAGGGAATTAAAGCACAGCTCTCAGAAAGAGAAGATAAGACCCTCTCAAGCTATAGACTTGCTAAAAACATGTGATGTGCATTTCAATGAGATGAAGGGACTTAGCAAAGTGTAGGGCTGAGTCTTCACTCACTTTGGAAAGCAGCTTCAGGGGTTTTCAAAAGATCTGTCGCAAATCCTTAGCAAAGTACACAGTGGGACAAATGTAAAATTAGGAAAGTAAATTTAAAAAGACAAAATTGCATGTATGAATGCAGGTAGTGACTCCCTTCAGACAGAAGAGGTATATACGGCAGGTTATTTCCAAATTAAAAACATTAAATAGGCGAAGAACCTGTCTGAGAACATTTCCTTCGACCTTTCCAAATTCTTATTAGTCATGTTATAGAAACCTTAAGCTACATAACTGTTTTACATAACATTTTAGATATTCTTGTAATTTACCTAACATAGCTGGGAAAAACCAACCAAATTTATTCCAAAAGCAACGTGCAAACATTTTGAATCTCCTCTCGTTCAAATCTGAGAATCTCACAAACAAGTGACAT